ATTTGCAACTAAAGAAAACTTCCACCAGAACTTAATCTAAAATCACATATGCCCATGTAACACGCCAGTTTATTATTTTACCAACAGCTACATGTAGTGATTGAAACCCAATGACAGCATATATATATATATTTATATACTTGAAGCAACAGAGGGAAATGCACTTAATAGCTACAACAGTACGTCAAATATATGAATGGATAAATCACGAGCCGTGCTCTGATTTAAGAAGCCGTGCACATATCAAGGCTGAAGCCTCCCGTCTGTTTGCTGAGACGCGCAGAGCAGAGCCGTGGCGGCGGTTTGAGGAGGAAAAGCGCAGTAACTCACCGATGTGGATGATTGAATCTGAGAGCGCCGTCTTCCACTCCTGGCTCCAAAAAACAGCAACTAGAAACACGAGCAAGATAACTTTCATTTTGTCTATAGATATCCCGGTCCAAACGACGGAGAAAAACTAAAGCTTTCTGAGTGGGGGGGAACAGAGTTAAAATCCCGAGAAACGACGCTTCTGTTTTAGTCCATTTGCAGGGTGGTTAAGGAAATCCCGGGTGATCTCTGCTTTGCTGTGGTCTCTTTACGACCGAGTGGATAAAAAGAGGACCAGGCAGTCTGATTCTGGTACCCTGTTGAAATTCCGTCCAACATTAAATCATATTCTGGGTGAGTAAAGAGATTCGGAGCTGCAGTGAGAGCCAAACCGCATCCAAACGCCGACGCGTTCAATCGAGCTGAGGCGCTAGACGATTTGGCCAATCATTTAAAGAAAACAAATCTATGACAATTCGGGAGCACGAAAGGGAAAACCTTGTCTTTAATGGCAGGTCATGTAAAATGACCCGAGATCCCCCAGCCTTCCAGACCTGGCGACGCAGTTTCCCCCCCTGCACCAATCTCCAAACCACCAGCAGCGACAGCAGCCTCAGAGGACCAAGCCAACGGCCAAAACTTCCATTTCTCCAGGGGGGAGGGGGGTATTTTTCCCTTCACTTAGCTACTCTTTGAATGTCGTCAAAGTAAGAACACACAAACGATGCCAGCAGCGACTTTTTGTTGGCGGGTAAAGAAAAAACCAAAATGACGAAAAAAAGCCTTGTCACATGGCATTACCACGGAGAGGTACCATATTCCGAAATTGTCTGTAGAAAATCTCGCAGAAATCAGTGACAGACCGGGGATGGAGAGGGATCTTAGATGTTTAATGAAAGGCAGCTCCGCGGCCACTCTTCTTCCAGGAGATCTGAATGTAGGCTATCTGGACACAAAATGAAACGATGATATGCGCAATGAAACTCCGCGCTCTGCGCTCCATATGCGGGAACTCGGCGTCAGCCCCAGCTCGCACGGTGGCTGGTGAAGACGAGGTATGCTGCGTCCGTGTGGGAGAGAGAAGTGGGTGGGGGGGTTTGAGGGGAAGGGAGGGAGGTAGGAAACCCAGGAGAGAAAAAAAAGGAGAGCGAGAGAAAAAGAAGCTGCAACTATGAGCAGTAGGAGTTGCCAACCGGGGCGCGCATCCACCGTCTGGAATCACCTCGGTGAAAGCGAGATTAAATGGGAATATCGGCGAGGGCGGGAGATGTAGAGCAGAGTCTGATCGAGACACAAATCAAAAGAGGGTTAATCTGCCAACAGTGGCTCTTTCATGAGCTGGTTGGGCAGCCACTCACTTGACGTCTGCTTCCTATTGAACAATAGTTGATAAGAGTCCGTTACTGAGCAAGAACCGTAGATGGCACAGAATCGTGCATCATTCACATTCTGAGCAACTCTGTTGCTGAATCTAAAGCTGCTCTAAGCACAGCTCTCACAGTTTTCTTCAAGTAAAAATTCCACATCATCTTTTGTTGTCAAGCCCTTCAATCCCACTATCAACAATCCGCTCCACCCAGAGGAGATCTTGTCCTTATGCTTTCTATTAATCTGCCCTGACCTTGGATTTAGGATTAACAGACTTGGTACCTTTAGGCCAAACTTTAAGACTTTTAGAGATTTACAGGGATATTCCTTTTTAATAGGGCAGTGTTAAGTTATTTGGTTTTTTTACAGCATTAAAAAGAATTGGTTATTATGGACTTGTCTTAAATAAGGTAAAACTCTGACTATTCCAGAATTTTCTGGCAAATAACAAAGGAAAATCCTCATAATTGATATGAAAGTGAAAGCTGTGAAACCCTTTTTCAAGTCTTTTTTGAAGTTCTCTATATTCATTATCAAATATTTATACAGTCATTTCCAATGAAGTAGAAATTCTATTGTTCAGCAAAGGAGCCATGGATAGAATGCAATGATAAGAGCAACCAAAAAGGTTCGGCACACTTAAATAACATGAATGAACAAAAGGAAAGAAACACTTTTTAAGATCACACTGCGGATCAAAACACCAAGATGCTTCAACCTTTATCAGACAGGTCTCTCCCAAGGGTTTAACCATTAAATAACAACCTGGTAACACATTTGTTTACTCGTGAAATTGCACCTCACACACACACACCTACTGGTGCTATAGTATTCATCTAAGTCTCTTGATTGTTTATCATTTTGTATTCTATAACATTAAACTTGGAGTGGGTTGATGGATTAAGTGAAGGAGTTAAAGCAACTGCTGTGTAATTACTTTACCAATCAATCTAAATTCAAGTAATCCCTTACTTTTAGTGAAATATAAGGTTCATGCAATGCATGGTCACAGAGGGGAGCAGCCTCTGGGCAACATTCAGGGTCCATAGTTTGCAAATCTGTCAGAAATTTAACAGAAAATTCACTCACTCCTTGGGTTGATATAGAGTCATCTCTTAACCTAACATGTATGTTTTTACCAATAGGAAGAAGCCAGACAAACCCAACACATCCACAGGGGAAGACACAAACTCCATTAAGAAGAACCAGCTGGGATTTAAACCTGGAACCCTCTGGCTGGAAGACAACAGTGGTAATGGCCACACTGCCACACAGCCGAAGAAAAAACAGGTTATCAAAAAGGTGTTGGAAAACTATTAACATTTCAAACAAATCTTTTCTTCACAAAAGTCCAAATGTCCTTAATTAAGTAATTTACAAAAACATCTTCCGAAGCACTTAAGTGAAATCTTGGTTAAATCTCTACAAGATTTCTACACCTGGATTTGAACAGTTGAAACTCATTCTCCCTGACAGATCCTGTCAAGCTTTTCCCATACGGATGACCCTGTGAACTGATATCTCCAGGTCTGTCTAAATAAGTCCTAACCGTTTTCCATTTTGGGTCTCCATGCTCCTGAGACCACTCAAAGCTTTGGAAGTGCTTTTACACCTATTGACCTGACCCATGACTTGCCTGTGTCTTATTGAAAAAGTCCCACAAGACATACAGAAAACTCATAGTTTGGTTTTATCCTAAAACAAATAGAATGCTGTTTCTATTTATAAAAGCTTGCAGGTATGATTTTATAAATATACTGTAGTTCATCACTTTGCTACAGGTAACCTCTAATCAGGGTTAAAATCATCTTAAGGAAAATGTAAAGAAAATATAAATCTCACCAGAAATCTTAATACTAACACATTTCACTTTCTCATTCGCAGTGCATTTTCCGTAACCTTTTGACAACGACAATACATGAAACTAATTAGAAATTAACACATTTTCAGGAGATATCTTACATTAAAGAGAATTCTGTTAAATTTTTCAGTATCAGTTCCTTGACAGCTCTTATTACAAATAACAATGTTCTGCTTTTATTTCATTTTTTAGGGTTGCAAGAATTAGTTTGTTTCCTTTTCGGTTTAACATGAAAAAGTTTAAGCGAGAACATTTTAAACAGTCATTCCATCCTTTGCTTCTGATTTGTTCCACAATGACTGTTGCCCTTTATTTGTGAAAGCTAATAGAGGAGTCACCTTGGGGGTGTTTAGGGCTGCACGTATGTGAGATTGTATCTGCTGCAATGAGCTTACAAACCTTAAAATGCAGACATACACACTCATAAGGGAAAGCAGAGGGGAATGCACTTATATCTCAGTGATAGAAAGAGTAATTCAGGTGTGAGATGGGTGACTCGTTAGTATGCAAACCGATGACTGTGACTGGCTCAAGGACACTTCCTGTGATCAGGAGGTAAAAGTGGCTGGAGGTCTGCATCGGGGTATTCCTGTTGACACGCTCTTGTGCATGGGTTTAAACACAATATTTTGAAGATGTGCAAAAGGCAACTATGTTTAAAGGCATTAAATATGCCACTAAAGCCATCAAGAGACAGAGCAGTAAAACCCAGCTTCACTGTGTAATAAAGAGAATATGCTATCATTACTAGAGTCTCTGAGTGCATCTGTGTGTTAGCTTAATACAGACTAACATAATGATAAGGGCCAGACAGACATTATTAAGCCAGAGTACCATCAGACACTTTCAAATGGTCCACGACATACACTGATGATTTACTCACAAAGATGCAAACCTGCGAATGCAATAACAAAACCAGGCCTGCACATTTTGGTCGAGTTTGTTTCTAAAACAAATGACAGGACTGCCATTTTCAAATGCTTTTACTTAAACAACTGAGCACTGGTTTGGAAGGCACAAATGAATGAATTAATAATTATCACCTTAAAATAAATGCTTAGTCAGGGTTAGGATCCATTGCAGACACATCACAGGCTATAAAGGAAAAGCTAGTTTCTCCCTGCATAGTTTCAAATGAACCTGCTTAAGGAAGATTTTTACCCAAAGCCACAACATGAAGCCATATCTCTCTACATGTCCCTGAAATGCAGTGGATTCTAATATTACTGCTATTCTGCAAATAAGAAATACCTTCTTATTCATGTATGTTTTATGTAGTAATATTTTAGTGGTGGTTCATCTCTCCACCCACTCAGCCATTAATGCTAATGGCTGTGTAACGTGCCACAGAGGGAAGCATCTTCAAGCAGAGGACACAATCTAATCTCAAACTCACCGAGCAACATGGCGTAAATCTGCTGAACAGAACCTTATTCCCAGCTACCGTAAACCAAACTGTGAGGTCACACTTACACACTTCACAGACACACAACCTACGTTTTGAAAATTTAATGATTTCCAATCTAAAAGTGGCAGGCGAAGCAGAGACCGCAAACGTGGAGAGCAATGGAAGAAAATAACAAGGTGAAAAGACCTATAAAAGATTCTTTATTTTCAATGTTCAAACCCCATAAATATATTGAATTTTGTACATTCCCAATAACCAGGAAAAAATGTGTGTTGCGCCACCATAAGAGACAGGATCAAAACTTGTAGGTGTATGTTTTGTTCATGTATAATTTGAATATGTAGACCTGGCTAAAATAATTTCCCCTATAAGTGGTGATATATTAACGTCTTTATCACATCTGGGCTTAAATTAAGTTCTGACTTGAGTCGTACACTGAAAGCCCCTTATCTCTCTTATTCCCTTAGACTAA